TGGGAAAAGTCTTCAATCTGTAGCATTAATCAGACGTTTTTGCCACCGGTTCACTTCAAAACCGGTGGGAAAAGTGCTTTTTGCCACCGGTTTTGAACCGGTGGGAAAGCTTTGAGGATTTAGCACCCCCCAAATCAAGAACGGTTCAAAACAGGTGGGGAATGGGTGGTTTGAACCGGTGGGGATTAGGGTTTTTCGCCTAGTGTCTCAAACTTAGCAGCCTTCACTTTTGTTTCCAGGAGCCCAAACAAGCCAATCTCATGATTTCTAAGGAAAGACAGAACATCACTTATTCTTTCAGATTGGTTCAGGCCCCTTATGTTCCAAAATCCCCACTTATTCATGAGGGAATAGGAGAACCCTCCAAACCCCTCACTACCATACAAAACCCTTCCATTACTCATACTTGAACCACCATTTCCAGTTTCACCCACCAAATCCTCCACCAACATTTCAGATCTATTCTGGGTTTCAACATCATACTCCTTATCCTGTTCCTCCCTAGGTTGATGAATTCTTCTGCCTTGCTGTCTCCAGCCACCCAGATCCTTGTTCCCCTGGATTCCTGGATTGTGAGGCTTACTTATGCCCCTAGCATTCTGCTCCTCTTCACTAAATCTCCCCTTAGACAACTCACTGTGTTCAAGTCTAGTCTTGGGACCAGGCTGTTGCACTGGTCTTGATACAGGTTTCTGCACAGGCTGTTGTACAGGCCTCCACACTTTCTGGGGCTTCTGAAATCTTTTCCTCTGCTGCTTATCATTGTCCACCCTCAATTTAGGACATTGCTCAGGCATATGACCCATTCCAGAGCACTTAGAACAGCTAATTGGCTTCCACTTAAACACCACCTTCTGAGAGACCTTGGTCCCATTCTCATCAAGGAATTCAATTGAATTAGGCAGGTCACCATTAAACCATTAATCTGCACCTCAATTAACACACGAGCATACTCAATTAGATCCTTTGTAGCAGTGGCCCTATCCATTTTAATCGGCTTCCCAATCAAACCACTAAGCTTCATGAGAGAGTTATGGCCCCAAAATCTGAGGTCTAACCCTGGAAATCGCACCCAAACTGGTACAGAATCAAGCTTCTCTTCTAGCAGATTAATGCCAGGCCTCCATCTCTTGAAGATGACAGGCTTTCTATCAAAAACAATCGGGCCTGCTTCAATAGCCTTTTCCCTACCATCCAGGTTCTTGAAATGCACGACAAAAACACCATTTGCCATAGAACAGACCTTATCAACACCATACTTTCCCCATACTCGTTTAATAAAACCTTGAAACATTGACCATGGGGGTTTAGAACAAAGTACATAGCAAACAATAGCCGAATTCCAGAAATCAATTTCTTTAGAAACATCTTCCATAGAAATCTGGATAAGGTTGGACTTATCACAAACACCTTCATTCCCATTCAAATTTCCCTCAAAAAACTTCCCATTATCAGCTACATCTTTGAATTTATCTTTCCAGGACGAATCCAACCCCGAAATAATCCCACCAGACCCAGAATTACTATCCCGCAAAACAGAGCACGCAGGAATTGGGGAAACATTCAAAGAATGGTGGGACCCAGAAAACTCAGGGCTCAAGCTAGAATTACGAATCATCATAATAGGGGTAGGATTCACAATGTTATCATCAATATCAACACAACCATCAAGATCATCATTACTACCCACCAAATCAGGTCCCTGAAACAAACCCAGAAACAGAGTCCTTCGCAATTTCAGGGGAAGAAATTACCTATAGCCATTGATTGAATTCAAAACGATGTTGAGCCTTGACTTCTTCAGGGACCTCATCAATCGGGATGTCATCCACTCCATCAAGCCAACTTCCAACCGAACCCACATCCGTCACTTCTTGATCCTCCATCGTCTTCTTGCACGATCTAAGCTTATACCGCTGCTTCTTCGTGGACTTAGATGAGGACTTAGAGCCAGAATTCTTCTTCGCTTTTCCTTTTTTATGATTGGCCATGAAGTCAGAGCTTTGAATGCATTAAAAATGGCGGCAAAACAAAGATTTTCTCTCTCTAGATTTTCTCAACTTTCTATTAGCCCATTCAAACAGTGTTATAACTTGCGTTCCTTATCTCTAATCCAGTTGTCATGTACAGATTTAGGTTTTATCTGTTGGTCAAAACATATACTTCCTCTGTTCCCATGATATTGCACCATGATGATATTGCACAGATTCTAAGATGAGAGAGATAGGGAGACATAAAAAATAGAGACCCGTGTGATGAGAGAGAGAGAAAGAGAATTCATGCGCAAATAAGATGTTTCAATATTTGTAAAGCTTTTTAAAATGGTAATTGCAATATTAGGGGAATGGAAGAAATGTTTCAGGCTACTTGTTCAGTTTATTCAACATAGTATGCCAATAATAATAAAAAGAAAAGGAAACAAAAAAAGATAAAAAAGCATAGGCTATTAAATTTGATGGCTGTGAATGTCTTGGCTAATATCGCAACAGTTTCCACATAAAATATACATCACAAGATAGGAAGAAACAGTCTCACATAATTTATGTTTATTACCGGCTCTTCAAACGGAATTAGCTTAGCCTCCACAAGTTTAGCCCTAGTATGATCATCAGGCTGCGGCTTACCCACTGCAGCAGAACTATAGACAATTTTCCTATTCAACGCAATATCACTTGAATTGAACTTCTGCAAGACAGCACCAAACATATTATGAGAAAAAGACGATAAAAAGAGATAGAGAAGTATGACTAGCACCTCAACCTGTATTCACTATCAAGTTTATTACCAAGAACACCATTATACAAGAAATGTGCACACCTATGTATGCTCAATTTTAGTCCAAGAAATTATAAAACCTAAAGATAAATATGCATCCATGCAAACAATACTAATACCAGTAATCTAACATATTAGAAGTATTGTAGACAACCTGTAAGAGAAAACACAGCAGTACCAAGTAATCTATAACAGGATATTGATACACTGACGATAAAAGAATTCCCCAATCACTCTGCAGGGAGTAATATACTGCTACATCAGAATTGTAACAAGTTCTAATCTAACTGACACATGTAAGAAGTTCTTTAGTAGTTAATTTGTCCAGATCTATCTCACCCTTTACCAAAGAAATGTTAGGTTTGGAACCAGAAGATCCATTTTTGTTTAGTCCATCATTAGGGCTAGAGCTTGACTCCTCTCCGTTGTTCACAGATTCCTTTACAAGTCTGTCTTTAGAACTTGATGCAGATTTAGGTAGAGAGTCCTGCAAGAAGTTCCAGATTGATGGAATAGAAAAAAAAAAAATGTTCTCGCAGATTAGAGTCAGGCAAACACAGAGAGCAGATGAGCTATGCTAACTAGTTAGTAACAAAACTGAACCCACTACAAAGAGCGTGTACACCATATAAGCACACTAAATCAATTCCCAGTTGGATTTTCAATAGTACTTTATTAAAATTGAAGAAAACTACAAAACTTTAGTTTGTTCCCTTTCAAATAGCACAGAAAATTAGAGGAAAATCCAAAGCAAGGTACAGAGTGAATACTGCAGATAGAAAACATTTATCATATCTGATAATACAAAAGACTGAAAAAAGATTAAAATCTCATTTTCTTCCATTTCAAATGTCACAAAATAATAGAGGAAACACAAAGGAGAAGGAAATAAAAAAACAAATCCACAAATACTATAGTCCACACTTTGGAGTTTGGACGGGCGACCAATAATGAATGTCATCCACCTACTCAAGAATTCATCATATCAATGAATAGTATGATGGTGAGAAACTGAGAATTAAGCCTGGTGATTAAGATTTTCATGAGAGAGAAAAGGAATTGACAAACTTCATTCAGGCCAATTGACCAAATTGTTTAAAAAAAAAAAAAGGTGAAAAAAAATAAAAATACTCCTAGCAACAATTTAGTAAAAACAAAAAATTGATAGTAGTACTAGGATGGGTGGCCTCCTGGGAATTCCTCATGTTGAAGAAGACAATTTAGTAAATACAACTCAGGAGACATTTGGACCAAAAAATCTACTTATATTTTTCCGATAAACTCCCCAGCCTAATGTAATTAGCTTTTGAATGTATTTAAATTTATTTTTCCCATTTTATATGCCTAATTTAATTCGTTTTAGTGTGTTTCCAATGTTTATACCAAACAACCCCTTATTATCTTCCATCGTCAGTAATAAAAGTCCATTTAAAATAGTCCACTCTGGTAGAGTGCCAATACCATTCCTTTCTTAGCTCTTTGTGGTTCTTCTTGTGACATGGAGCATTCCTTTAGTCTTCAAAGTTAAAAGAGTGTTTTGTTGAAAAGATTCTCCAAGACTCGGAACGATATTTTTTTTAAAAAATAAAAAAGTTCAAGACAACTCTTTTTCCAAAATTTTCTTTCATCATGTGCATAGAACCAACATCTCTTAAAGTAAATACAAATGAACCTACGTGGGATTCGAACCCATATCTTTTGTGCATTTGCACAATGCTCTACCTCTTGAGCTAGTAGGCTAGTGTATATAAAGTTGACAATAATAAAATGAGCAGAGACAACATTAGCAACCTCAAAAACAGTTGCTAAGACCAGATGAAATTTTCGATTGGGAAGCCTTGGAGGTTCTAGAAAGATAAGTGAATGATCCAGGTTTTAGTGAGAAAGGATCCTGAGAACCTACAAATAAATTATTTTACACACCAGAAGCATGAATAGGGTTCAAGAGGGAAGCAATTTTAAATGTTGTACCAGGCATACACAGAGTATCACATCCACTGAGTGTTTTGTCCAGGAAGCTGAGCTGGATTTTGCTCTCCTCCCAGTGGAGAAAATTGACCAAAATGCCGATACCTTTTAAGCAAACAAATTTTCAGCACCAAACTCAGTACATAATTCATGACAGGCTTTGCCTTTTGCAGTAAATTATGCCAATTTAGGATCACTCACTTGAAATGCACTTAGATAACAAAAATGTTGCAAACCTTGGCGTAGAGCTACCAATGTTCTTAGATAACAAAAAGTTTGAAATCAAAGCACATTTTTACCGTACACAAAACAAATTGAAATGCACTGGACTAGAGATCCCTGAAAACTGAGACTTTACTCTTACATTTGATATTCATGTAGTTTACAGAACTTCTAACAACAGTTCTAGTGCTAGCATTAACCTAAAAAACACAGAAATTGCATCTCCTTCGAACCGTATTCGCTTCACACTCAATATACGAGCCACAAGAAGCCTAAACCTTGTTCTGCTGCATATCTGACATGCATCATTAAGCAGTCCACACAATCCTTCCATGTTGTTTTGAGCCACGACACCCAGCCCGCATAATCACTACCTATTTGCACTAGTTCAGTTTATTAAGCCAATAAAAAAGACATACCTGAATCAAAAGCGATTGGTTCTGCAAACCTTGGATGAACTAGCAGTTGAAAGCATGTGTTGGTGCCAAGTAAAATTGACATTGCAGCACCAACTTGTGTGTCTGACATTGGATTACTCTGAGAAATCACAAACAGATTATTCCAAAACAGGAAGAATTATAATGGAAGTTGAATTATTATCTCTCCACTAGAAGTTTCTTGTCTTGTGTAAATAATAAAAAGCCAATTATGCCCCAAATCTTATACTCTAAATATACAGTGATCCCAAGTTCAGGCTATTTACATAACAATTTTTATCTCAAACAATTACTAATATTAAACGACATAGCACCACAAATAGCACCACAAATAGCACCACAACAAAAATCTGCAATACCATTGCTGCTAGTACCAAACAACAATCACACACAACTCTCCACGCAACCATTAACATCAACAACACACAACAATATACGAAACTCAATCATTACAATAACCTCAAAAGTAAATAATTTAAGCTCAAAAGTAAATAATTTAAGCTCAAAAGTAACAACTCAACAATAGCAATGCCCAATAATTGCACACTAATACGCGCACGAGTGCACACATATACATACATTAAGCAATTAAGATGGTGTTATATAACAGCATAACACAGTGCAGCATTAGAAAGCGCAATTAATCTCATACATCAAATCAATTCCAAGCAAATAATTCACAACAATGTAGTTTTAACAAATGCGACCACAAGTACTCAAACATAAAATTGAAAAAACTCTAATATGAATTACATCAATCGAAATAACAAATATCGCAACAAAAAAAAAAAAAAAAATGAAACCCTAGTTTTCGCAATCGAAATCAGAAAATATAAATTAAAAATTCAAATTAAACTAAACTCAACAACGATAATCGAAATGAAATTAACCTGACAAAAAATAACCAACAACAAAGATCCAAGAACAAATTCAACGAATTTAATATGCGATAAATAGGAAAAAAATATCGAAAACCCTAATTTTAAATTCCAAATAATCGAATTTAAATATGCAATATCTAATTAAATAAAAAAGTAACACAATCAAATAACTTACTTGTTCAAAATATCAGGCGGTGAAGAGCGAAGAAAAAATTCAAAGATTTTTATATAAAATAATGAAAAAATCGCAGTACGCAGCAGAGAGAATTTGAAAGAAGAGAGAGAAAGTGAAAAAAAAGAAACTGATGAAATGTTGGGTATTCATTCAAAATATCAAATTTACTAATTTGCCATTAATGAAGCGAGTGGAATCTCGACCGTTAGATTTAGCGCGATCAACGGTCCTGATAAGTTTCTAGTTCCTATTATAGACCTAGGTTCTCACATGATATCAACTGAACTGCTAAACATCGATCCCAATTTACCGGGCGTTGCTCCCATTTTGACATGAAAGGACCACCCTTTTCATAACTTGGACTATATAAGGCTCCACCACTTAGTTAAAAAGATTCCCAAGCATTTTAATATTATTCCCAAGCACATTCAATCCAACACTTGGTTAAAAAAATTCCCGAGCCCATCACATCCAACCCCACGACATCCAACCCAAAATTCCCGAGCCCACCACCAAAAATCCCATTTTTTTAAAAAATTATTTTATTAAACTTTAGCGACTGGTTTAGGACGATGGATGACGACAACGATCGTACACCGGAGGCATCGTCGAAGGATTCTGTAAGTCCTCAAATTTTTTTTTTTTGAAAAGCGTACATCCGCCTAAAATTTCCGCCATGGAGGATCCAGATTTTTTAGGCGGACGTCCAATATTTTTTTTTATTGATTAATTAATCAAAACGTTTTTTTTTTGAAATTAATTAATCAAATCTATTAATGTTTTTTTTATTGTGATTATTATTATTTTTGTGATAATTTGAGTATTTAGTATTAGTATTAGTATTATTAGTTAATATTAGTTATTTTTGTGAATTTTTTGTGGTTTTTTTTTTAAAATTTTAGATTTTTAAGTTTATCGAGCGTGAAATGTGTTGTAAGCGTCGTGAGTATTTATATACGAAGGGTAAATACGGAATTTCAAGGAAAAAATGCGAGCGACGCCTAGTAATTTGGGAGCGACATTTAACAACTCCCGATATCAATCCTATGTATATACAACCATGGCGAATAATAGAAAATAGGAACTAATATGAGCCGTCCATTGCGTTTCATCCAACGGTCCACACTTCACCCGCCTCATTAAGATCTAGGTTTTTCCTCCGTTTCTTTTTTTATTTTTTGTCTCTCTTTCTTCTTCCAAATCCTCTGTGAGGCGATTTATGATTTCTTTGCTCTTCGATTCTTCGCTTTTGTTCATCAATTTCTTGCATTTTTCAGTTAAGCTAAGGTATGTAAATTTCGATTTATTAGTATGCTGAATTTGCTCGATTCCAAGTTTGCTCGATTTGGTTTCGATTAACTCAAGTTTGAATTTGGGGTTTTTTGTTATTTGTTGTTTGTTTAATTTCTGTTTCATTTCATAATTACATTTAAATATTCGAAAATTTGGGGGTTTTTTTGCTATTTTTTGTTTGATTGATTTGTGAATTTTGATTGTTGCATGTGCTTTAATTTTAATTGCGGTTTTTGTAACTTGATTATCCATTTTTCTTTTCTGGTTTTGTCTTTTGTTAAATTTGTGGTTTTTGTTTGTTTTTTTTTCGCCCCTAATTTTTGCTATTTTTTACTTAATTTGTGAATTTGAATTGTTGTTTTGTGAATTTGGGGGGTTGCCGTGCGATGAAAGAGTAGGGGGTTAAAAAGGTTGGGGGTGTGCGAGTTGATATGAGGTGAGGGTGACTTTCATGGTGAATATCCTTTGAGTTGTGCATATTAATTGAATCCGATATCAATTTTTCTTTTTATTTTTTAACTATCAGCATATATCTAGTTAATTTAGCCTCTATGATTTTGAAGATTAGGGTATGTTGGGTTGTTCTCTTTACTGAACTCATTCTATAATATCTTGGATTGGACTATTTCTGTTGCTTCTGCTTACTGCTTTGTTAAGTTCATTTGTGCTATACTTAGTTAATATCCAGAATTATAGCTATGCCTTGTTTAAATGTCTTTGATTTGCCTTTGGCATATAATTTTTAAATTGTTTAAATGCTGAAAATGCCTATTCTTTGGAACTTGAATATGTCATAAGAGTTGAGGCTTTGTTTTAGAGATAGTGTGGGAGCAGTGAAGATTTAGCGTAAAGGCCCTTGTTCGTAGCTTATCATTTTAGTAAAGAGCGGTTGCACAATTATAATGTGTTGGTTTTTTATGTAATGGTAGCTTATGTAAAGACACTGACATGTGAAGGAGGAGACCTCACCACATGGATTAAGGAGCAATTATGTGAGCCCATGGGAAATTTGTACTCTAAATTGCTGAAGGTGCATATTCTTTGTTTTCTATAAAAGCTAGCTGTGAATTGAGGCAATACTGTGTTTAGACCCCAGGAACTTGTTGAATTGTAGGGATACCAGGGACATTAGAATAGCTTTGGTATAATTACATGTGTGTATGATAGATAACAGAGCTTGCAACTTGTACAAGGGTAGAAGTGAGCATATGGTCATTCCCCAGCCCCAATCCCGACCTATCCCGACCTTGTGACACCCTAACCATGGATGTCCCATACCCTATGTTGCACAGATACCGACACGGACACGGACACGGACACGATACGGACACGGGAAAACGGCAATCCTGAAATAGGGGACACGGGTACGGCGTATATCAAGGCATATAATATATCAAAAAAACGAGAATTTGACAACCTATTCAATAAAACACTAAATAATTAGCCTCAAAACACACAATTTTGTTTAAACAAGTAAATAAACAAAGTGTACAAACATAATCTCATACATATCAAGAAACCATAAAACCAAATACATGTCTTGATAATAGTTTTACAAATCATAAATAAGATAAACATAAGTACTAATAGTTTCATTCTTTACCATCACCAAGTACATCATCAAAAATCATATTTTCCATCTCGGGTTCATCAAGTGAGAGCTCGGCCATCTCGGGTTCATATTTTCCAAAAGTTACATTTCCATTTATAATTTCCTCCACCACCCGATGTTTTATCACCCTTAACCACAAACTTCCACAAGGGTAGGGGTCTTTCATAGACTCAGATGAATTACTACTACCACTGACATTGCATGAAGCAGAGGAACTAGAAGACATTCCTGAGAATTTCAACAAGACAACAATACAATTTCAGTTTTTCATGCTTATATCAAATGCATTAAAGTTTAATTAAACAAGTCCAACAAGTCCAGCAACTAGCCAACTATACAGTATACATCAAAGTATCAAAAATCAAATTTTCAGTTCTTCATTTTCATTACAGTATACAGGATGTATACATGAAGGATCAATTATGCACGCTTGTTCCTGATTCTAATCAAGTTAAAGTTAAATTAATTGAATGTATACATGAAGGAGCAATTGAATTTCAGAAAATTAATTGAATGTATACATGAAGGAGCAATTGAATTTCAGAAAATTAATTGAATGTATACATGAAGGAGCAATCGAAAATTAGAAAATTAATTGAATTTAAAAAAAAAAAACAAAGTAGAGAACCTCAGAACCATACCTGGTGGCTGACGCGCGACGGACGACAGACGACAGTGAGCTGGAGACTGGTGGCCTGGTGGGCGGTGGCTGAGGACGAACAACGGTGAGAGAAGGCTAGCAGCCTAGCACGAGCAGCAGGTGACAAGCCTAAACAGCAACGAACGGTGACTCGGTGAGAGACGCAGCTAGCAGATCAGAGACAGACGTTTGAATGTGACAGCGGTTGTGAGACCGACGGCCGGCGGTGACGACTGACGGGCGACGACGACGAGCTACAAAGTACTTAGGGTATGAGTTAGTGAGAGAATGAGAGGATTGAGAGTTTGAGACTTGGGAAGTTGGGAGAGGCAGAGCATGAGTCAGTGAGGGTATTGTATTTCGCGTGTCCAATACAAAACGGGCCGTGTCTTGGGGTGACACGGTCCGTGTCCAAGTATCAAAATTTTAAAAAAAAAACGGACACGATTTTCTGCGTGTCGGACACGTGTCGCCCCGTGTCCCACCCGTGTCCGTGTCCGATACGCGTGTCGACTCGGACTCTCCTGTCAGGTGGCGTGTCTGTGCATCACAGCCCATACCTAGCTTACCTGTCTTACCCTTGTACCATATTAGTGTCAGACTTGGAACTCTGCCAAGACCTTAAATAGTGATTTGTGCCTCCTCCCCTAAGCTAACCTATGAAAAGTTGTCTGAATCTACATCATAATTATCAGCCCAATCCCTATCCTCCCTAAGATACATCTTTCTGGTTGTATCTTAGGGAGGATAGGGTTGATATCACATTTCTGTACCACATTTCTGTAACGGTTAATATCCAGTAGCCCCTTGATTATATTAGTGTAAAATGGGCATTCTTATGGGCCATTTAGTACCCTTATGCCAAGTTCCATGCTGCTAATATCCCTCAGAGCTGCCTTTTGCAACTATGCACTTGTTTGCTCCTTCATTTCTGCTATTGATTTTCAGCATATTTGCTTGGAATTCTGGCTTTAAATTCTCATGTAAGGCTTACATTGTAATATACTAAAATCCTCAATTGTTGTACGTATACTCAATATAATTTTTTATTCAATTTTAAGTTTTTGTTATTTACTTTTGAGACTTTTTATTTACTTTTGAGTTTTTAATTGTTTAATATACACTAGCCTACTAGCTCAATAGGTAGAGCATTGTGCAAATGTACAAATGATGTGGGTTCGATTCCCACATAGGTTTATTTATTATATAAAATTAATTTTCATTTACTCTACGCTTGAGATTCACTTTTTAGTTTTTCTATTTACTTTTGATGTTTTGATTTACTTTATATTATTTTTAATTTACTTTTGAGGGTAAATAATATTCCCAACTAGCATGTTTAAAGTCAATACTTTTTTCTGCACCATTTGTTTCCAAGCTATACTAGAGAAAGATGAGATAATATTTTTTTTTGAATTTTTCGGGTTTAATAACTACCTTCAAAGGCAATTAATTTTTCGCACACCTTAAAGCTAACTTGATTTACTTTTTAGTTATTTCAATTTACTTTTGAGGTATTTTGAATAACTTTAGAGTGTTTTATATTTACTTGTAGAGATAACCTATGTAGGAATCGAACCTACACATCTATGTATCCGCATAGTGCTCTACCACTTGAGCTAATAGGTTTACTTTAAAGTTTTTTGTATTCACTTTAGTTTATTTTTCATTTACTTTAAGAGATCACTTAGATTATGATTATGTTATGGAGTTTAACAGTTGCTAGTGATTAGGATACTACTTGTCTATATTTGTGAAGCACAAACAACTATCATGCATGTTATAAGTTAGTGCCTATTAGACCATTCTCAGCAGTGAGGAAAAAAAAAACCTCTCAATCTCTCTCTACCCACTTTCTCACTCCTCCCATACAATTTCTCTCATCAAATGTTTTTTTCACCACAGCAATGAGGAGAAAAAAAACCTCTCATCACTTTCTCCTCCACTATTTTTTAATTTATTTTTTAATTACGTTTAAAAATAATTTAATAAAAATTTATAATTACGTTTAAAAATATTAATAATACTAACTGGAAATTTTTTTTATAAGAAATAATTATAATAATAATAATAACAAGAAGAAATTGGGAAAATATGTTAATTTCTCTAATTTATGGGTTTTTTTGAAAGTATATCAAAATGCATGTCTATTTATAGAGAAAAAAATTTTATGGTCGTTGGTGAATTTTTTTTTTTTTTTT